TTAGAGGCTGCTACAGACACGGGTTAGAGGCTACTACAGACACGAGTGAGAGGCTGCTACAGACACGGGTGAGAGGCTGCTACAGACACGGGTGAGAGCCTACTACAAACACGGATGAGAGGCTACTACAGACGACACGGGTTAGAGGCTACTACAGACGACACGGGTTAGAGGCTGCTACAGACGACACGGGTTAGAGGCTACTACAGACGACACGGGTTAGAGGCTGCTACAGACAAGGGTTAGAGGCTACTACAGACAAGGGTTAGAGGCTACTACAGACAAGGGTTAGAGGCTACTACAGACAAGGGTTAGAGGCTACTACAGACAAGGGTTAGAGGCTGCTACAGACAAGGGTTAGAGGCTACTACAGACAATGGTTAGAGGCTACTACAGACAAGGGTTAGAGGCTACTACAGACAAGGGTTAGAGGCTACTACAGACACGGGTTAGAGGCTACTACAGACACGGGTTAGAGGCTACTACAGACACGGGTTAGAGGCTACTACAGACAAGGGTTAGAGGCTGCTACAGACGACACGGGTTAGAGGCTGCTACAGACGACACGGGTTAGAGGCTGCTACAGACGACACAGGTTAGAGGCTACTACAGACAAGGGTTAGAGGCTACTACAGACACGGGTTAGAGGCTACTACAGACACGGGTTAGAGGCTACTACAGACACGGGTTAGAGGCTACTACAGACGACACGGGTTAGAGGCTGCTACAGACGACACGGGTTAGAGGCTGCTACAGACGACACGGGTTAGAGGCTACTACAGACAAGGGTTAGAGGCTGCTACAGACACGGGTTAGAGGCTGCTACAGACACAGGTTAGAGGCTGCTACAGACGACACGGGTTAGAGGCTGCTACAGACACGGGTTAGAGGCTGCTACAGACACAGGTTAGAGGCTGCTACAGACACGGGTTAGAGGCTGCTACAGACGACACGGGTTAGAGGCTGCTACAGACACGGGTTAGAGGCTGCTACAGACACGGGTTAGAGGCTGCTACAGACACGGGTTAGAGGCTGCTACAGACACGGGTTAGAGGCTGCTACAGACGACACAGGTTAGAGGCTGCTACAGACACGGGTTAGAGGCTGCTACAGACACGGGTTAGAGGCTGCTACAGACGACACAGGTTAGAGGCTGCTACAGACACGGGTTAGAGGCTGCTACAGACACGGGTTAGAGGCTGCTACAGACACAGGTTAGAGGCTGCTACAGACACGGGTTAGAGGCTGCTACAGACACGGGTTAGAGGCTGCTACAGACACAGGTTAGAGGCTGCTACAGACACGGGTTAGAGGCTGCTACAGACGACACGGGTTAGAGGCTGCTACAGACACAGGTTAGAGGCTGCTACAGACACGGGTTAGAGGCTGCTACAGACACGGGTTAGAGGCTGCTACAGACGACACGGGTTAGAGGCTGCTACAGACGACACAGGTTAGAGGCTGCTACAGACGACACGGGTTAGAGGCTGCTACAGACGACACGGGTTAGAGGCTGCTACAGACGACACAGGTTAGAGGCTGCTACAGACACGGGTTAGAGGCTGCTACAGACGACACAGGTTAGAGGCTGCTACAGACACGGGTTAGAGGCTGCTACAGACGACACAGGTTAGAGGCTGCTACAGACACGGGTTAGAGGCTGCTACAGACACAGGTTAGAGGCTGCTACAGACACGGGTTAGAGGCTGCTACAGACACAGGTTAGAGGCTGCTACAGACACGGGTTAGAGGCTGCTACAGACACGGGTTAGAGGCTGCTACAGACACGGGTTAGAGGCTGCTACAGACACGGGTTAGAGGCTGCTACAGACACATGGTAGAGGCTGCTACAGACACATGGTAGAGGCTGCTACAGACACAGGTTAGAGGCTGCTACAGACACGGGTTAGAGGCTGCTACAGACACGGGTTAGAGGCTGCTACAGACACGGGTTAGAGGCTGCTACAGACGACACAGGTTAGAGGCTGCTACAGACGACACGGGTTAGAGGCTGCTACAGACGACACGGGTTAGAGGCTGCTACAGACGACACGGGTTAGAGGCTGCTACAGACACGGGTTAGAGGCTGCTACAGACACGGGTTAGAGGCTGCTACAGACGACACAGGTTAGAGGCTGCTACAGACGACACAGGTTAGAGGCTGCTACAGACACGGGTTAGAGGCTGCTACAGACACGGGTTAGAGGCTGCTACAGACGACACAGGTTAGAGGCTGCTACAGACGACACGGGTTAGAGGCTGCTACAGACGACACGGGTTAGAGGCTGCTACAGACGACACGGGTTAGAGGCTACTACAGACACGGGTGAGAGGCTGCTACAGACACGGGTTAGAGGCTGCTACAGACGACACGGGTTAGAGGCTGCTACAGACGACACGGGTTAGAGGCTGCTACAGACGACACGGGTTAGAGGCTGCTACAGACGACACGGGTTAGAGGCTGCTACAGACGACACGGGTTAGAGGCTGCTACAGACACGGGTGAGAGGCTGCTACAGACACGGGTTAGAGGCTGCTACAGACGACACGGGTTAGAGGCTGCTACAGACGACACAGGTTAGAGGCTGCTACAGACGACACGGGTGAAAGGCTGCTACAGAAGGCACTACTGTGTATACGTTGAGACAGCAGCCTGTCTGAATGCATCCAACTCCGCTAAACTTGTGTTGATCTATCACAACAACTTGATTCAACCGTCGCCTCTAAAGTTCTGTAGGTGCAACACCATCCCCACTCTCGATCACCAAGATAGTTATCGACGACAGTGGCACTCTGTGACATCTGTTGCTTGTGGAAGGGAATCCGCTAGTTGAGGGAACATCTAAGATCTTGTCTTGTGACAAGGAATCAGCCAGTTGGGGAAACATCTAAGACCTTGTCTTTTGGCAAGGAATCTGCCAGTTGGGGAAACATCTAAGATCTTGTCTTTTGGCAGGCAATCCACCAGTTGGGGAAACATCTAAGACCTTGTCTTTTGGCAAGGAATATGCCAGTTGGGGAAACATCTAAGATCTTGTCTTGTGGCAGGCAATACACCAGTTGGGGGAACATCTAAGACCTTGTCTTGTGACAGGGAATCTGCCAGATGGTGGAACATCTAAGACCTTGTCTTGTGGCAGGGAATCCGCTAGTTGGGGAAACATCTAAGACCTTGTCTTGTGGCAGGGAATCCGCTAGTTGGGGAAACTTCTAAGATCTTGTCTTTTGGCAGGGAATCCACCAGTTGGGGGAACATCTAAGACCTTGTCTTGTTGTAGGGAATCCGCCAGTTGGAGGAACATCTAAGACCTTGTCTTGTGGCAGGGAATCCGCTAGTTGGGGAAACATCTAAGATCTTGTCTTGTGGCAGGGAATCCGCCAGTTGGGGAAACATCTAAGACCTTGTCTTGTGACAGGGAATCTGCCAGTTAGGGGAACATCTAAGACCTTGTCTTGCGACAGGGAATCTGCCAGATGGTGGAACATCTAAGACCTTGTCTTGTGGCAGGGAATCCGCTAGTTGGGGGAACATCTAAGACCTTGTCTTGTATCAGGGAATCTGCTATTTTGGGGAACATCTAAGACCTTGTCTTGTGACAGGGAATCCGCTAGTTGGGGAAACTTCTAAGATCTTGTCTTGTGGCAGGGAATCCACCAGTTGGGGGAACATCTAAGACCTTGTCTTGTGGTAGGGAATCCGCCAGTTGGAGGAACATCTAAGACCTTGTCTTGTGGCAGGGAATCCGCTAGTTGGGGAAGCATCTAAGACCTTGTCTTGTGGCAGGGAATCCGCCAGTTGGGGAAACATCTAAGACCTTGTCTTGTGGCAGGGAATCCGCTAGTTGGGGAAACATCTAAGACCTTGTCTTGTGGCAGGGAATCCTCTAGTTGGGGGAACATCTAAGACCTTGTCTTGTGGCAGGGAATCCGCTAGTTGGAGAAACATCTAAGACCTTGTCTTGTGGCTGTTGTTGTAAGGCCCTGGGAATGTTCCTGTCATCAGCTCACGTGACTTACAGGATACACAGTACACAACGACCACGTGACTAAACAAGTAAGCAAACACAAGAGGCCAGATCTTGGTGTTTAATTGTTTCATTTAATCTTCTCGTCAAGGTACAATGTCAGTCACTAACATAGCAGCCACACAAACATGTCTACATTATAAAACACCCTGGGTCCACAGAATTATTTTACAGAAAATACCCAGTGTTTTATCTCGTGGTGCATGTCTGTCTCGTGTACACAGTCATTCTGTCCAATCTCACGTTTGCTTGCAGCCGTTCTGTTGGTGTGTCTCTACCATGTCTAATATTGCCAAGTTTCGTGTTTGTATTTTTATTTTGTGTGAATGTTTTTTTTCATTTCACGCGTTTCATTTACGTGCACGTTTTCTATCACGTATGGTGTTTGTTACATAAATGATGACAAATATCCTGAGATGATTACATCTTTATGTGTGCATTTATATTGCCATGTCACTGTTTGTGTATTCTGCCATGCCACTGTTTGTGTATTCTGCCATGCCACTGTTTGTGTATTCTGCCATGTCACTGTTTGTGTATTCTGCGATGCCACTGTTTGTGTATTCTGCCATGCCACTGTTTGTGTATTCTGCCATGCCACTGTGTATTCTGCCATGCCACTGTTTGTGTATTCTGCCATGCCACTGTTTGTGTATTCTGCCATGTCACTGTTTGTGTATTCTGCCATGCTACTGTTTGTGTAATCTGCCATGTAACTGTTTGTGTATTCTGCCATGTCACTGTTTGTGTATTCTGCCATGCCACTGTTTGTGTATTCTGCCGTAACACTGTTTGTGTATTCTGCCATGCCACTGTTTGTGTTTTATGCCATGTCGCTGTTTGTGTATTCTGCCATGTCACTGTTTGTGTATTCTGCCATGTCACTGTTTGTGTATTCTGCCATGCCACTGTGTACGCTCCCAATCGTGTATTCCATTTTCTCCGGTCGTCTCCACGCAGTCAACAGAAACGAGGTTACCCACTCGTGGCGCTGGTAGCGTTGGGACTCTTCAGGAAGGTCAGGATGTCATCAAACAGCTGCAGCGCCGACTGGCGGGAGTAGGGAGCTAACGTGGACTTGAGGTCAATGGTCAAGACCTGGGGACTGTTTAACGTGTATTGATCCCAGCGAACGTCAACTCCGTCCTCGTCAACTTTTGTGGCAGTCGGGTTACCGAACTTGGCGAAATTGGTCCACCAGGTTTGTATTTTGTTGCCGACAGCCAGGTCTTCGGGAGATGTCATGGATGCCACGAGACCCACTTGGTCATCCGTGAAGACCAGAGGGAGATCGCCGGAGTGGATCACTCCCCACCACTCGGGCCCTAGGCTCTGGAGCTCTAGGAGAGACTGCACACGGTACGCCAGCTCGTAGACATAGTGGTTGAAGCCCTCGCCGCCGTGAGACAGCATCTTCTCCAACTCGAGCAGCTCGGAGGCAGCAAACAGCGTGTCCCTAAAGGCCTCAATCAGGCTGGAGCGGATTGCGATCGGGTTCGTTTCGTTGCCAAGGTAGACGCTCTTCACAATCTGCAACAGGTGCTTCTTGGTTTTGTTGTTCAGCGAGTAGGAACTGAAAGCGTTGGCAAAGTTTTTGGCAAACTCGCGCCTGGTCAATCCGTCTTCGTCAGCGTCATTGATGACGAAGGACCACTCGCCGGAGTTGAAGCCTCTGATGGTGTCCACTTTGTTGAAGAGGCCGTTGTCCAGGATATACTGGGGGTAGTGCGGCAGGAAGCCAAACTTGGTCTCCACTCTCGGCGGTGCGATGATGTCGATATCCACTTCGTGTTTGAACACGTAGCTGGCGTTAAACAGTTCTTGGGCGTCGACCTTCCTCAGACAAGTCAGGAACTTCTCGGAGTCATCGTCACTACATCCCACTCTAGCTCCTACCTGTCTGGTGTACTGCTCCACACTGATTTCGGACGCTGGTCTCTCCACCGCCCAGACGCTCAGGGAGCAGCCACTTTGCATAATGGCCCTGTGGAAGAGGCCTTTTGACAGGGGAGACAACACGTGTAGGGACACGCTGGAAGACCCAGCACTCTCACCGAATATGGTCACCTTATTCGGGTCGCCGCCAAAAGCGTGGATGTTCTTCTGTACCCACTTCAGCGCCAACACCTGGTCCAGAAGCCCGTAGTTACCGGGCATGACGTCATCCTCGGTGGAGAGGAACCCGTACGCTCCAAGCCTGTAGTTGATGGTCACTATGACCACTCCCCTGTCGGCCAGCGTTGAGCCGTCATACCGGAAGTCCGACCCTGATCCTGTGTTGTAAGCGCCCCCGTGGATCCAAACCATCACGGGGATCGACCCATTCAAGGTGGGCGTGAAGACATTCAGAAACAGACAATCCTCGGACTCGCCTTTCCCTACTGGAGACTGCCAGCACCTGGGTCCAAAGTCTAGGGCGTCACGAACTCCTTGCCACTCTGGTGCTGCTTCAGGTTGAGAAAATCGCTTGTCACCTGCCAGGACAACAAAATATAGCTTAAATTTTGTCAGAGAAATGACAGGACAACAAAATATAGCTTAAATGTTGTCACAGAGTTGCCAGGACAACAAAATATAGCTTAACTGTTGTCAAAGAGTTGCCAAGACAACAAAATATAGCTTAAATGTTGTCACAGAGTTGCCAGGACAACAAAATATAGCTAAAATGTTGTCACAGAGTTGCCAGGACAACAAAATATGGCGTAACTGTTGTCAGAGAGTTGCCAGGACAATAAAATATAGCTTAAATAATGTCACAGAGTTGCCAGGACAACAAAATATAGCGTAACTGTTGTCAGAGAGTTGCCAGGACAACAAAATATAGCTTAACTGTTGTCAGAGAGTTGACAGGACAACTAAATTTAGCTTAACTGTTGTCAGAGAGTTGTCAGGACAACAAAATATAGTTTAACATGGCGGGAAGCTACGGCCACAGAGTGGTCAGAAAGTGCCTGCATAAACATGACGGGAAGATACGGCAACAGTTATCAAAAAAAGCCTGCATAAACATGGCGGGAAGATACAGGAACAGTGATAAAAAAATGCCTGCATAAACATGACGGGAAGATACGGGAACAGTGATCAAAAAATGCCTGCATAAACATGGCGGGAAGATACGGGAACAGTGATCAAAAAAGTGCCTGCATAAACATGACGGGAAGATACGGCCACAGAGTGATCAAAAAGTGCCTGCATAAACATGACGGGAAGATACGGGAACAGTGATAAAAAAATGCCTGCATAAACATGACGGGAAGATACGGCAACAGTGATCAAAAAGTGCCTGCATAAACATGACGGGAAGATACGGGAACAGTGATCAAAAAATACCTGCATAAACATGGCGGAAAGATACGGCCCCAGATTGATAAAAAAATGCCTGCATAAACATGACGGAAAGATACGGGAACAGTGATAAAAAAATGCCTGCATAAACATGGCGGAAAGATACGGCCCCAGAGTGATCAAAAAATGCCTGCATAAACATGACGGGAAGATACGGGAACAGTGATCAAAAAATGCCTGCATAAACATGACGGGAAGATACGGCAACAGTAATCAAAAAAAGCCTGCATAAACATGACAGGAAGATACGGGAACAGTGATCAAAATATGCCTGCATAAACATGACGGGAAGATACGGCAACGGTGATCAAAAAAAGCCTGCATAAACATAACGGGAAGATACGGGAACAGTGATAAAAAAAATGCCTGCATAAACATGACGGGAAGATACGGCAACAGTGATAAAAAAAAAAGCCTGCATAAACATGACGGGAAGATACGGCAACAGTGATCAAAAAATACCTGCATAAACATGACGGGAAGATACGGGAACAGTGATAAAAAAAAGCCTACATAAACATGACGGGAAGATACGGGAACAGTGATCAAAAAAAAGCCTGCATAAACATGACAGGAAGATACGGCAACAGTGATCAAAAAATACCTGCATAAACATGACAGGAAGATACGGGAACAGTGATCAAAAAATGCCTGCATAAACATGACGGGAAGATACGGGAACAGTGATCAAAAAATGCCTACATAAACATGACGGGAAGATACGGCAACAGTGATAAAAAAAGCCTGCATAAACATGACGGGAAGATACGGGAACAGTGATCAAAAAATGCCTGCATAAACATGGCGGAAAGATACGGCCCCAGAGTGATCCAAAAATGCCTGCATAAACATGAAGGGAATATACGGGAACAGTGATTAAAAAAATGCCTGCATAAACATGGCGGAAAGCTACGGCCCCAGAGTGATCAAAAAATGCCTGCATAAACATGACGGGAAGATACGGGAACAGTGATCAAAAAAAGCCTGCATAAACATAACGGGAAGATACGGGAACAGTGATAAAAAAATGCCTGCATAAACATGACGGGAAGATACGGCAACAGTGATTAAAAAAAAAGCCTGCATAAACATGACGGGAAGATACGGCAACAGTGATCAAAAAATACCTGCATAAACATAACGGGAAGATACGGGAACAGTGATCAAAAAATGCCTGCATAAACATGACGGGAAGATACGGGAACAGTGATCAAAAAATGCCTGCATAAACATGACGGGAAGATACGGCAACAGTGATAAAAAAAAAGCCTGCATAAACATGACGGGAAGATACGGGAACAGTGATAAAAAAATACCTGCATAAACATAACGGGAAGATACGGGAACAGTGATCAAAAAATGCCTGCATAAACATGACGGGAAGATACGGGAACAGTGATCAAAAAATACCTGCATAAACATAACGGGAAGATACGGGAACAGTGATCAAAAAATGCCTGCATAAACATGACGGGAAGATACGGCAACAGTGATAAAAAAAAAGCCTGCAAAAACATGACGGGAAGATACGGGAACAGTGATCAAAAAATACCTGCATAAACATGGCGGAAAGATACGGCCCCAGAGTGATCAAAAAATGCCTGCATAAACATGACGGGAAGATACGGGAACAGTGATAAAAAAATGCCTGCATAAACATGGCGGAAAGATACGGCCCCAGAGTGATCAAAAAATGCCTGCATAAACATGACGGGAAGATACGGGAACAGTGATCAAAAAATGCCTGCATAAACATGACGGGAAGATACGGCAACAGTGATAAAAAAAAATGCCTGCATAAACATGACGGGAAGATACGGCAACAGTGATCAAAAAAAGCCTGCATAAACATAACGGGAAGATACGGGAACAGTGATAAAAAAATGCCTGCATAAACATGACGGGAAGATACGGGAACAGTGATCAAAAAATGCCTGCATAAACATGACGGGAAGATACGGGAACAGTGATCAAAAAATGCCTGCATAAACATGACGGGAAGATACGGGAACAGTGATAAAAAAATGCCTGCATAAACATGGCGGAAAGATACGGCCCCAGAGTGATCAAAAAATGCCTGCATAAACATGACGGGAAGATACGGGAACAGTGATCAAAAAATGCCTGCATAAACATGACGGGAAGATACGGCAACAGTGATTAAAAAAAAATCCTGCATAAACATGACGGGAAGATACGGGAACAGTGATCAAAAAATGCCTGCATAAACATGACGGGAAGATACGGGAACAGTGATCAAAAAATGCCTGCATAAACATGACGGGAAGATACGGCAACAGTGATAAAAAAAAAGCCTGCATAAACATGACGGGAAGATACGGGAACAGTGATAAAAAAAAAGCCTGCATAAACATGGCGGAAAGATACGGCCCCAGAGTGATCAAAAAATGCCTGCATAAACATGACGGGAAGATACGGGAACAGTGATCAAAAAATGCCTGCATAAACATGACGGGAAGATACGGCAACAGTAATCAAAAAAAGCCTGCATAAACATGACAGGAAGATACGGGAACAGTGATCAAAATATGCCTGCATAAACATGACGGGAAGATACGGAAGAACGGTGATCAAAAAAATGCCTGCATAAACATGACGGGAAGATACGGCAACAGTGATAAAAAAAATGCCTGCATAAACATGACGGGAAGATACGGCAACAGTGATAAAAAAAAAAGCCTGCATAAACATGACGGGAAGATATACGGCAACAGTGAAGATACGGGAACAAAAAAAAAGCCTGCATAAACATGACGGGAAGATACGGGAACAGTGATAAAAAAAAAGCCTGCATAAACATGACGGGAAGATACGGGAACAGTGATAAAAAAAAAGCCTGCATAAACATGACGGGAAGATACGGGAACAGTGATCAAAAAAATGCCTGCATAAACATGACGGGAAGATACGGCAACAGTGATCAAAAAATGCCTGCATAAACATGACGGGAAGATACGGGAACAGTGATCAAAAAAATGCCTGCATAAACATGACGGGAAGATACGGCAACAGTGATAAAAAAAATGCCTGCATAAACATGACATGACAGGGAAGATACGCCTGCAACAGTGATACGGCAACAGTGATCAAAAAAAGCCTGCATAAACATGACGGGAAGATACGGGAACAGTGATCAAAAAATGCCTGCATAAACATGACGGGAAGATACGGGAACAGAGTGATTCAAAAAAAATGCCTGCATAAACATGACGGGATAAAAAAAAAAGATACGGGAACAGTGATCAAAAAAATGCCTGCATAAACATGACGGGAAGATACGGAACAGTGATCAAAATGCCTGCATAAACATGACGGGAAGATACGGGAACAGTGATAAAAAAATGCCTGCATAAACATGACGGGAAGATACGGCAACAGTGATAAAAAAAAGCCTGCATAAACATGACGGGAAGATACGGGAACAGTGATCAAAAAATGCCTGCATAAACATGACGGGAAGATACGGGAACAGTGATAAAAAAATGCCTGCATAAACATGACGGGAAGATACAGGGAACAGTGATACGGCAACAGTGATCAAAAAATGCCTGCATAAACATGACGGGAAGATACGGCAACAGTGATCAAAAAATAGCCTGCATAAACATAACGGGAAGATACGGGAACAGTGATCAAAAAATGCCTGCATAAACATGACGGGAAGATACGGGAACAGTGATCAAAAAATGCCTGCATAAACATGACGGGAAGATACGGCAACAGTGATAAAAAAAAAGCCTGCATAAACATGACGGAAGATACGGGAACAGTGGGAACAGTGATCAAATACCTGCATAAACATGATACAGGATCAAAAAAATACCTGCATAAACATGACGGGAAGATCAGTGAAAAAATGCCTGCATAAACATGACGGGAAGATACGGGGAACAGTGATCAAAAAATGCCTGCATAAACATGACGGGAAGATACGGCAAACAGTGATAAAAAAGTGCCCTGCATAAACATGGCGGGAAGATACGGGAACAGAGTGATCAAAAAAGTGCATAAACATGACAGATACGGGAAGATAGTGATTAACAAATTGCCATGCATCAACAGTGCCTGCATAAACATGACGGGAAATTACTGCATAAACAGGTTGAAGAAAAATACGTCCTATCAAAAAAAGCCTGCATAAACACGTGACGGGAAGATACGGCAACAGTGATCAAAAAATGCCTGATAAAACTGACGGGAAACGAAAAAGTATGGATCAAAAAAATGCCTGCAGGAAACATGACAGTGATCGACAGCCTTAAGATGACGGGAAGATACGGGATCAAATAAATGCAAGTGCATAAACATGACGGAAGATACGGGAACAGGATCGAAACAGTGAGCAAAAACATGACGGGATAAACAACAGTGAGGAAAAAAACGCCTGCATAAGTGACGGGAACATACGGACACATAAGAAAAATAGCCTGCATAAACATGACGTGAGGAACACATACGGACATACAACATTGAGTGATAAAAAAGTGTTTATCAAATAAAAAATGGCATAAACATGAGGAATACGCCACAGATTGATCATGACAGTTAAGAAAATAGTTTATAAACAATCACGTGATTGTGGACACATAAGTGACAAACATGACAACATAAGATTGTAGTTTACAAATAACGGCACGTGATTCATAAGTGACATTAACATGACAGTGAGAAGCAAAATGTTCCTGACAATGGATCACGTGATGTCACAGATTGGAGGTGTAACAACGACAACAGTTCATCTCCGGACAGGAAATTGGTTTATCATCGTGGCAGCCAGAGACAAGTGAAAGCATATCGACAGTTAAGAAAAGAGACGACTACAGTGTGTGATTCTCACATAAGTGACAAATATGTATGACGTGGCAGTGCAGAATAGTTTATCAAATTTCATGTGATAAACACATAAGAATGACATTAACATGACAGTTCAAGAATGTAGTTTATCAAAAAATTTATCTGAGGAACACATAAGTGACATTAACATGACAGTTAAGGAAATAGTTTATCAAATAAATCACGTGATGAACACATAAGTGACATTAACATGACAGTTAAGAAAATAGTTTATCAAATAAATCACGTGATGAACACATAAGTGACATTAAAATGACAGTTAAGGAAATATCTTATCAAATAAATCACGTGATGAACACATAAGTGACATTAACATGACAGTTAAGGAAATAGCTTATCAAATAAATCACGTGATGAACAAACACATAAGTGAGATTAACATGACAGTTAAGGAAAAAGAGTTCATAGAATAGATCACGTGATGAACACATCAGTGACATTACCATGACAGTTAAGGAAACGGAAACCAGGCTGGCCTTCCATGGACAGGTAGTATGTTCTCACCTGTTGGAGGCTGGCCGTAACGTATCCCCCAGAACTTGTAGATGACGGTTCCTGTAGCCAGCGCGCGGTAGAAGCCCCGCAGTTGTTGTCCTGGGTTCAGCGACACCTCGACAGTGTTGTTACTTGTGTCAGCCGCCCAGGCGGCAGCCAGCAGGCAAGCGAGTGTCAGACACACCAGATGTGGTGCTATCCGGTTGGCCATTGTTGACGAACGCACAGTTAAACGAGGTCTGCTGACGAAGGTATCAGCAAACTAAAGAGGAAACTGGTGACCAACTAGAAAAGACCCTGTCACATATCACAGTTTATATAACCTGGCCTAGGTATTGGCCCTTGGGAAGACAACAGACGTCCTGTGAGCCTGAAGGCTACACGTCCCAAAACTAGGTCATGTTCTTATCTAATTAAAGTGCTGAATAATTATTTGTTGGAAATCAGTTTCTATGAAGGCAAGACACGAATCTACTCCAGAATCGTTGATACAGTGTGAAAACAAGATTCGGTAATCAACTTGACACAAACACACCTGTTGTGCTTGTTTCGACACAGACAGGGTTTGGACAATAGGTATTCAGTTTATGTAACTATAGACAGAAACTGGCGCAGATAATCTTAAGTGTAGAGTTGTGACGTTTTCCCAGTGTCTTAAATATACTAATCTGAATTCTTATGTTAGTGTACTGAAACGTGATATCTCTGGTTAGCTCATCTGATATGTAGTCTTGCACATTCTGTTTCTTCTAGTATTCACTTTCTGATTTATGCCGACAGACAAGTTCTTGTGATAAACTTGACCGTTTTTAGGAGTTCCCTATCCTTGAGAACATTAGGCGAGGAGAGGAGTAGGTCAAAGTGCCACTTGAACAGTCAGACTTGTGTAGGGTCATAATCAGAGCCGGGAATGCAGAGACTGGCCAGCAGGTGCCACAGAGGTGGAAATTCAGCAATTAATTCAAGATAATGCTCGCTCAGGGGATTTGATCATTTACACAAACGATTCAGTGTCAAGAGGCAAAAGAAGTGCTTGGGGTTCCTTGGTAGACATTTGGTGCAGGAGAGCCTAGCATATGATACCACAACATCCAGCTTAAGAATGGAGGTGGAGGCGGTCACTGCGGCTTTCCGCTGGCTAGAGAACACGACACACACACATTGTGTTTGTAACTGATTCAGAAAGCATGCTGAGGAAGATCAGAACAAGCATGCATCGTGCAGAGGGGCATGCCTCGCTGCGGAAGACACGAGTGAAGAGTATTGTCTAGATTTTTTTTTTCTCACAAGAGTATGCCGGTGTGTTGGGAAATGAACAGAAGGACAGACTGGCTGGCTCTTGGTGGAATACTGATCCATGATAAGGCAGGCGTGGTTAGTACCCTGTGGGAGAGCGTGTACAGTTCGGAGGAGCAGATGGATCACCACAGTCTGGTGAGATTGATGCAGTTGGGGGTAAAGGGAGGTTCTGGCAGAAGCTCAAGGCTCAGAGGAAAGGCAAGACGGACGTTTAATCAGAATGCTACTGGCACCATGAGTATTGGAACTCTTTGCTGGCTGCTGAAGATGGGGACGGAGCGCTAATGGGAATGCCATGCCCCGAGTGCTGTGATGTCAGTTCTTGAATCAAATCAAATCAGGAGTTCCCTTTTATTTCCATACAACTTTGAATTTAGTGTTGACTCACTGGGCCAGTATTCAATTCTGAAAAGGCTGTACAAGGGACAGTCTTGTATGACATGTTTTGTAGTCTGCATTAAACAATCACAGTGGTGAACTACTTAAGCAAAGCGTCTGCATATGTTTTTAAGTTTGTCCTGAGGCACAGAATAATGACCTGGCCATGCCGGTCAAGTAAGTATTAGACATCTCTAGCCAGACTGTTGACTTCTGATAGACTGGATGGACGTTTTCTTCACAAAGTATGTTAAATGGATTCTCTTCCTGTTCACATTCTGCCCCTTTCTGAGCCAGTTTATCCGTGGTGTACCACAGTGGGATGACACCCACTGGAGTTCAGTACACTTTTGGGCAGCCATCTTGCTCAATTCAGATCACAGACGGGGGTGAGGGAGTTTCCCTCAAGAGGGCTTGGAGCACCGATAGCGCAGCTGTGAAGATGACCACTTGAGGGCTTGGAGCACCGATAGCGCAGCTGTGAAGATGACCACTTGAGGCCTTGGAGCACCGATAGCGCAGCTGTGAAGATGACTACTTGAGGGCTTGTAGCACTGAAAGCGCTCACAGATGACCACTTGAGGCCTTGGAGCACCGATAGCGCAGCTGTGAAGATGACCACTTGAGTGCTTGGAGCACCAATAACACAGCTGTGAAGATGACCCACTTGAGGGCTTGGAGCACCGAATGTCAGAGATCTATGCTTGGAGCACCGATAGCGCAGCTGAAGATGACCACTTGAGTGCTTGGAGCACCGTTCACTGTCACTTGAGGGCTTGGAGCCATAGCGGGCCCTCACAGCACACATCGATAGCACGATAGCTGTGTTGAAGATGACCACTTGAGGCTTGGAGCACCAATAACACAGCTGTGAAGATGACCACTTGGTAATGATCTATTTGTGCCTCCACACTGTTCACTCACTCCCAGAGGGCCCTCACAACATCTAGGTTGTCATACATCAGTTCACAACCAAGTGGTACAAAACAGAGCCATTTATCTGCTTGCTAATTCCCCAACACACCGGCATCACCTGGAGAAAATATCCAAATGATGCTAACCTGTCTCCTCCTTTCTCAACCACTTCCCGCTCACCACCTTAATACATCACACAACCACTTCCCGCTCACCACCTTAATACATCACACAACCACTTCCCGCTCACCACCTTAATACATCACACAACCACTTCATGCTCACCACCTTAATACATCACACAACCACTTCACGCTCACCACCTTAATACATCACACAACCACTTCATGCTCACCACCTTAATACATCACACAACCACTTCCCGCTCACCACCTTAATACATCACACAACCACTTCATGCTCACCACCTTAATACATCACACAACCACTTCATGCTCACCACCGTAATACATCACACAACCACTTCATTCACCGCTCACACAACCACCTTAAATACATCACACAACCCCTTCACGCTCACCACCTTAATACATCACATAACTTCAACATACATCACAGGAACGTTAATACATCCCACAACCACCTCACATTAAATACATCACACAACCCTTTGCTCACACCTTAATACATCACACAACAACCACCACACATAACCCCTTCATGCTCACCACCTTAATACATCACATAACCCCTTTCATGCTCACCTTAATACATCACATAACCCCTTCATGCTCACACCTTAATACACTTCATGCTCACCACCTTAATACATCACATAACCCCTTCAACCACTTAATACATCACGCTCACCACCTTAATACATCACATAACCATCATCACATACATCACATAACCCCTTCACGCTCACCACCTACATCACACCCCTTCACGCTCACCACCTTAATACATCACATAACCCCTTCACGCTCAACCACCTCACCACCCCTCACGCTCATCACCTTAATCCACATCACATAACCCCTTCATGCTCATCACCTGATACATCACATAACCCCTTCATGCTCATCACATAATACACATAACCCTTCACGCTCACCACCTTAATACATACACAAATCATGCTCACCACTTTAATACATCACATAACCCCCTTCAACCATACATCACACAACCACTTCACACTCACCACCTTAATACATCACATAACCACTTCACACTCACCACCTTAATACATCACACAACCACTTCACACTCACCACCTTAATACATCACATAACCCCTTCACGCTCACCACCTTAATACATCACATAACCCCTTCATGCTCATCACTTTAATACATCACATAACCCCTTCATGCTCACCACCTTAATACATCATACAACCACCTCACATAAATACATCACATAACCCCTTCACGCTCACCACCTTAATACATCACACAACCACTTCCTGCACACCACCTTAATACATCACATAACCCCTTCATGCTCACCACTTTAATACATCACATAACCCCTTCATGCTCACCACCTTAATACATCACATAACCCCTTCATGCTCACCACCTTAATACATCACACAACCACCTCACATAAATACATCTCATAACCCCTTCACGCTCATCACCTTAATACATCACATAACCCCTTCACGCTCACCACCTTAATACATCACATAACCCCTTCATGCTCATCACCTTAATACATCATACAACCACCTCACATAAATACATCACATAACCCCTTTACGCTCACCACCTTAATACATCACATAACCCCTTCACGCTCACCACCTTAATACATCACATAACCCCTTCACGCTCACCACCTTAATACATCACATAACCCCTTCACGATCACCACCTTAATACATCACATAACCACTTCATGCTCACCACCTTAATACATCACATAACCCCTTCACGCTCACCACCTTAATACATCACACAACCCCTTCACGCTCACCACCTTAATACATCACACAACCACTTCCTGCTCACCACCTCAATACATCACATAACCCCTTCCTGCTCACCACCTTAATACATCATACAACCACCTCACATCACACCACTTCACGCTCACCACCTTAATACATCACATAACCCCTTCATGCTCACCACCTTAATACATCACATAACCACTTCACGCTCACCACCTTAATACATCACATAACCCCTTCACGCTCACCACCTTAATACATCACATAACCACTTCCTGCTCACCACCTTAATACATCACATAACCACTTCCTGCTCACCACCTTAATACATCACACAACCACCTCCTGCTCACCACCTTAATACATCACATAACCACTTCCTGCTCACCACCTTAATACATCACATAACCACTTCACGCTCACCACCTTAATACATCACATAACCACTTCCTGCTCACCACCTTAATACATCACATAACCACTTCCTGCTCACCACCTTAATACATCACATAACCACCTCCTGCTCACCACCTTAATACATCACATAACCACTTCCTGCTCACCACCTTAATACATCACATAACCACTTCCTGCTCACCACCTTAATACATCACATAACCACTTCCTGCTCACCACCTTAATACATCACATAACCACTTCACGCTCACCACCTTAATACATCACACAACCACTTCCTGCTCACCACCTTAATACATCACATAACCACTTCCTGCTCACCACCTTAATACATCACACAACCACTTCCCGCTCACCACCTTAATACATCACACAACCACTTCCCGCTCACCACCTTAATACATCACACAACCACCTCACATAAATACATCACATAACCCCTTCACGCTCACCACCTTAATACATCATATAACCCCTTCATGCTCACCACCTTAATACATCACATAACCCCTTCATGCTCACCACCTTAATACATCACATAACCCCTTCATGCTCACCACCTTAATACATCACACAACCACCTCACATAAATACATCACATAACCCCTTCATGCTCACCACCTTAATACATCACACAACCACCTCACATAAATACATCACATAACCCCTTCACGCTCACCACCTTAATACATCACACAACCACTTCACGCTCACCACCTTAATACATCACATAACCCCTTCATGCTCACCACCTTAATACATCACACAACCCCTTCACGCTCACCACCTTAATACATCACACAACCCTTCATGCTCACCACCTTAATACATCATACAACCACCTCACATAAATACATCACAAAACCTCTTCACGCTCACCACACAACCTCTTCACACTCACTACACAAACACATCACACAACCTAGCTTGTCAGCCTCTTTAATAGCAAGTTTTTGAGCAGAAGTTACCAGACCTTATCACGGCCTTGGTTCTGGTTGCAGCTGCACAGTTTGCAGGCATGACAGGTAAAATTATACTGACTAAAACCATTTGAAATAAAATTAAAAGATATTATCTGGGATAAAATGCTGGCTTTTGGGTCTTTGTGATTTTAAAATGACATCATAATGACGTCAGACTGCTTCACTTAACAGTAAAAAATGTTGATGACCAAAAGGAGTCAAAGAAGTGAAATCTTTGCAGCATTTGTACTGAGTGATTAGGTTCCTGGATCCGTGCTTGATTGATTGGGTTTGTGCTTTCACTCAGTAACTAGAAACAAAAACTGGGGGTGGTTGTGCTGCAATAGCTAGCAGGCTTGCTTGTCTGCTTGATGGTCACAGGTTCCAACCCCATGGGTGTTTATCAAACTGACCAAGACTCCAGATTTTTCCTCTTCTCCTCTTTCGAAGAGCAATTTCCAAGAATGACTGACCTGTGTTTCTTTCTAATGCACTTTGAAAAAAGGTCACTTTGTCAGACTCCTACTGGGCGGAAGCATTATTGTATTACAACCACTTAGACCACACAGCTAGCTGAATATAACTGCAACTACTGAGGTTTTGAGCACACAGCTAGCTGAATATAACTGCAACTACTGAGGTGAGATTTCATGAAAGAACATCCAACTATTATTTGCTCCATTTATTCTCTATCTTTCCTGCATACATGTGTCGACCGAGGATGATTCTAGTCTGACCAAACACAGACACTTCAATCTCACCAAATACAGTAAATTGTGTGCCTAGAAATATAACAAACTGTATACTGTACATGACAACAAGTGAAAATGACAACCTTAGCCTTATCAATAACAAACAACCAAAATAATATCAAGAAGAAATAATTTAAAAATGATGGCAACAGCCGAAGGGAACTATAACGCCAACAGCTGCATCTCCTGCATTTCTATAGGGACCAACTACAGCTGCATCTCCTGCATTCCTGTAGGGACCCACTACAGCTGCATCTCCTGTATAGACAATATTCCTACAGAGACCCACTACAGCTGCATCTCCTGTATAGACAATATTCCTACAGAGACCCACAACAGCTGCATCTCCTGTATAGACAATATTCCTACAGGGACCCACTACAGCTGCATCTCCTGTATAGACAATATTCCTATAGGGACCCACTACAGCTGCATCTCCTGTATAGACAATATTCATACAGAGACCCACTACAGCTGCATCTCCTGTATAGACAATATTCCTACAGGGACCCACTACAGCTGCATCTCCTGTATAGACAATATTCCTACAGAGACCCGCTACAGCTGTATCTCCTGTATAGACAATATTCCTACAGAGACCCGCTACAGCTGTATCTCCTGTATAGACAATATTCCTACAGAGACCCACTACAGCTGCATCTCCTGTATAGACAGTATTCCTACAGAGACCCACTACAGCTGCATCTCCTGTATAGACAATATTCCTACAGGGACCCACTACAGCTGCATCTCCTGTATAGACAATATTCCTACAGGGACCCACTACAGCTGCATCTCCTGTATAGACAATATTCCTACAGGGACCCACTACAGCTGCATCTCCTGTATAGACAATATTCCTACAGGGACCCACAACAGCTGCATCTCCTGTATAGACAATATTCATACAGAGACCCACTACAGCTGCATCTCCTGTATAGACAATATTCCTACAGAGACCCACTACAGCTGCATCTCCTGTATGGACAATATTCCTACAGAGACCCACTACAGCTGCATCTCCTGTATAGACAATATTCCTACAGAGACCCACTACAGCTGCATCTCCTGTATAGACAATATTCCTACAGGGACCCACAACAGCTGCATCTCCTGTATAGGCAATATTCATACAGAGACCCACTACAGCTGCATCTCCTGTATAGACAATATTCCTACAGAGACCCACTACAGCTGCATCTCCTGTATAGACAATATTCCTACAGAGACCCACTACAGCTGCATCTCCTGTATGGACAATATTCCTACAGAGACCCACTACAGCTGCATCTCCTGTATAGACAATATTCCTACAGAGACCCACTACAGCTGCATCTCCTGTATAGACAATATTCCTACAGAGACCCACTACAGCTGCATCTCCTGTATAGACAATATTCCTACAGAGACCCACTACAGCTGCATCTCCTGTATAGACAATATTCCTACAGAGACCCACTACAGCTGCATCTCCTGTATAGACAATATTCCTACAGAGACCCACTACAGCTGCATCTCCTGTATAGACAATATTCCTACAGAGACCCACTACAGCTGCATCTCCTGTATAGACAATATTCCTACAGAGACCCACTACAGCTGCATCTCCTGTATAGACAATATTCCTACAGAGACCCACTACAGCTGCATCTCCTGTATAGACAATATTCCTACAGAGACCCACTACAGCTGCATCTCCTGTATAGACAATATTCCTACAGAGACCCACTACAGCTGCATCTCCTGTATAGACAATATTCCTACAGAGACCCACTACAGCTGCATCTCCTGTATAGACAATATTCCTACAGGGACCCACTACAGCTGCATCTCCTGTATAGACAATATTCCTACAGGGACCCACTACAGCTGCATCTCCTGTATAGACAATATTCCTACAGAGACCCACTACAGCTGCATCTCCTGTATAGACAATATTCCTACAGGGACCCACTACAGCTGCATCTCCTGTATAGACAATATTCCTACAGAGACCCGCTACAGCTGCATCTCCTGTATAGACAATATTCCTACAGGGACCCACTACAGCTGCATCTCCTGTATAGACAATATTCCTACAGAGACCCACTACAGCTGCATCTCCTGTATAGACAATATTCCTACAGAGACCAGCTAGCGCTGCATCTCCTGTATAGACAATATTCCTACAGAGACCCACTACAGCTGCATCTCCTGTATAGACAATATTCATACAGAGACCCACTACAGCTGCATCTCCTGTACAGACAATATTCCTACAGAGACCCACTACAGCTGCATCTCCTGTACAGACAATATTCCTACAGAGACCCACTACAGCTGCATCTCCTGTACAGACAATATTCCTACAGAGACCCACTACAGCTGCATCTCCTGTATAGACAGTGATGTTAACCGAGTGGACAGTCCCTTGAGGACATCCACATCGACCTGAGAGCCCTGAAGCTCACTGAATGTAGACATCACATTTTTCTGGATGGCTTCCACACAGTCCAGGTAGTGGCCTAGTGGTAACACTTTGTCCCCTGTCAACTCATCCAGTTCTGTCAGCAGTTGTTCGGACTCTGTCAGGGCAGCCTCCAGCTTGTCTTCATACTCCTCCTGCAGCTCTGCACTTCCCTGTGGGATGTAGATGTTTCTGGTGGGCAGCTGGTGCCTGGTGGTGTCCAGGGCTGAGCTCATTCTGCAGTAGTATTCCTCCAGCTGGGGCAGCAATGAGACCACAGTGTCCAGGTCAGGCTCAGTTTTGTCAAGAACAGTCTCCAGTAAGTTAATCTGCTGAAGCCTGGCTACATCCATCTGCAGCCGGACATTGTCTTCTCTTCTTGATTCTACAACCTTCCACAGAGCATGGAGGTGTGCAGCTGCATCCTTCTCTTGTTCCTGCAACAGTTTACTGACCTTGCTGTTCATGAATGCCCACTGTAGATACCTGGTGTGCTCCAGATCCAGCTGAAGCTGAGATGTGTCGGAGGTGGAGCTCGTGGGATCAGCGCTAGGTCTGTGGGCATTTCTTTTGTTTGAGACTGTTTGTGTCATCAAGTTTTTGGCACCAGTATCTGTTGCGGCCTTGTTTGCTGCAGCAGCTGGGTAGAAGCTAGGCACGGTAGTGTTGATAGAGACTGCTGACACAGAGTGGATGGCTGAGGCATCAATGTCCTGCGAGGACAAGTGACAGGTCTGATCATGTGTAGGTGTAGATGTTTTCTGTTTTGTGTTGGGGAACTCATGGGACGACCGTATGGCCTCTTGGGGACTATCAGGCTGGGCCAAATCCTGCGAGGATGGACCCCGACTGACTGCAGTGTTTGTGTGTTTGTGCTTTTTGTGGGCATATTATTAGTTCTGGTCGACCTTCCAGAGGCAGCCTTCCTTGTTCGTAGTTCTGCTTTCATGTCCACATGCTGCTTCTCTCTTGTCTGTTTGCCCACTGCTGAAGCAGATGTTTGTGATCTTGAATGTGACTTCAGCACTGATGCTTCCATGCTAGAACTTTTTGAAGCTAACTTATTCTCTGCCGTATTTCTGCTGACTGAACTCAGCAGGTAGCGAGACGTGACTTTCCTCAGTTTCCTTTTCTTTGTGGATGCCAGAGCAGGAGCTGGTTCTGTGTCTGGCACAGGTTTGGCAGATAATTCCAGTTTGCTGAGGCTCACTGCTTTGTTGTGTAGTTTGTGTGGAGTCACATATTCGTGCAGTGAGCATGTCTCAGAGCCAGACGAATCATCATGCAACTTGGCCTGCTGATTTTGGATGCTGTCTTTGACAGGTATCTGGTCAACTGAAGTGTCAGAGTCATCAAACTTTGGCTGAGGGAAAAATGGCGTTTGATTATCTGCACACATTTTATGTTTCCTGTGCTGATCTTGAGATGACCTAGTGAAAACAGAATTATTTAAAGAAGGATCTCCATTGTGGGAAACATTTGTAGAGAGAAAATCTAGAATCTTCTTGTTGTTTGGCTGCTGCTGGGAGTTTGGTAGGAGAGCACCAGTTGTCGGTTGCTGGGCTGCCAGTGGGCTAGTTTCGCTGTGAAGAGAAATGGCTTCCACATTACTGCTGCCCAACTCTTGCATCAGAATTTCTTCAATGATGCCTCTGTTGCCGCGGAAACTGTAATGACCAGATGTTTTGTTAGATCTATGTCTAGAACCTTCCGACCTTGTTTAGATTCTCCTGATCATCAAGCAGGCTTTGGTAGTGTTCAGTCTTTGCTGTGGAGCCAGCAACTGTCAGCACCCTGTCCACTGTTACAGAGATGCTTGGACCGTCACCAGCACACAAAGCAGAGACATCAGTGGCTCTCTCATGACGGAGAGAGTGCTGGAGTTTCCCCGGTGTGTGACATATAATCCTGGCAGGCGAATGTTCATAAGCCAGGACCACATCCACCGCAGCACCAGACGATGGGTCGCCCAGGGCAGAGGCATCAAACACCACTACTGATCCAGCTCTGGCACCATATGTCACGTCGGTTTCAGTGTCTGAGAGGTCCAGGCACTGGAGAGGTTCCGGCCGTGAGGATACACTCTCCGTCAACACAGGCAACGACTTGGCTGGCAACATAGTGGGGTCATCTTGAAATTCACCTGGCAATAAAAATTAAAAAAACACAGTTATATTGATGGCACAAAATCATACATGTGTGTGTGCAGGTGGGGGTGTGTGTGTGTGCAGATGGGGGTGTGGTGTGTGTGTGTGTGCAGGTTGGGGTGTGGTGTGTGTGTGTGTGCAGGTTGGGGTGTGGTGTGTGTGTGTGTGTGTGTGCAGGTTGGGGTGTGGTGTGTGTGTGTGTGTGTGCAGGTGGGGGTGTGTGTGTGTGTGTGTGCAGATGGGGGTGTGGTGTGTGTGTGTAGGCTGACAGATACAGTAACACAAAGACTAAGCACACAGATCATGTGACAGGACATGATGATGATGGTGGTGCCAAAGTCAGAAGTCATTTCTGCCTCTTGTGCTAGCACCTGCTTCTGTCTGTGAGTTTGTGCTAGCACCTGGTTCTGTCTGTGAGTTTGTGCTAGCACCTGGTTCTGTCTGTGAGTTTGTGCTAGCACCTGGTTCTGTCTGTGAGTTTGTGCTAGCACCTGGTTCTGTCTGTGAGTTTGTTCTCCCAGCTGGTCACAGATGGCAAAGATGGAACAGATCAATAACAAAGTTATTTTCATCTTAGCAGAGTGAATAAAAGATACAATGAGTCCGTGCCCAACTGTGAGTCATTGCTGAGATAAAACATCTACTGAACAGTGAAATAAAGAGAAGGACCATGCCGCAGGGTATAAAATAAAATAAAAAAGAGGCCAATCTTGGATGTGTCCGGCTGAGGACATGGGAACCGAGGTGCTAGACCTATATCTTCTTCTTTGCGTTGAGAGGCTGTCAACTCTAGTGGAAAGTTCTGGGTGTTGAGTCTTGTTCTAGAAGTGTTGCATGCACATCCTTTTTACAGATATGACATATGTGTATGCAGATTGTTGGTTCCTTGACTCTCAGGCAAGATGCCCTCTGAGTTTGAAGGATGCTCCCAGTTAGTTGACATGCTTATTGGGGAAGCAGTGGGTCTATTCTTGTCTCCACAATGGGACCCCGGAACCCACATAGGGACCCCAGAACCCACAATGGGACCCCAGAACCCACAATGGGACCCCAGAACCCACAATGGGACCCTGGAACCCACGATGGAACCCCAGAACCCACAATGGGACCCCGGAACCCACATAGGGACCCCAGAATCCACATAGGGACAGACATATATTTGTACAGACCAATCAGCACTCAGTAGGTGATGTCATCATATTTCCAGGTTCTCATGTTTGGCTGACCCACAGCCCACAATCTCCAGGTTCTCATGTTTGGCTGATTCATAGCCCACAATCTCCAGGTTCTCATGGTTGGCTGACCTATAGCCCACAATCTCCAGGTTCTCATGTTTGGCTGACCTATAGCCCACAATCTCCAGGTTCTCATGTTTGGCTGACCTATAGCCCACAATCTCCAGGTTCTCATGTTTGGCTGACCTATAGCCCACAATCTCCAGGTTCTCATGTTTGGCTGACCTATAGCCCACAATCTCCAGGTTCTCATGTTTGGCTGACCTATAGCCCACAATCTCCAGGTTCTCATGTTTGGCTGACCTATAGCCCACAATCTCCAGGTTCTCATGTTTGGCTGACCCACAGCCCACAATCTCCAGGTTCTCATGGTTGGCTGACCCATAGTCCACAATCTCCAGGTTCTCATGTTTGGATGACCTATAGCCCACAATCTCCAGGTTCTCATGTTTGGCTGACCTATAGCCCACAATCTCCAGGTTCTCATGGTTTGCTGACCCACAGCCCACAATCTCCAGGTTCTCATGTTTGGCTGACCCATAGCCCACAATCTCCAGGTTCTCATGTTTAGCTGACCTATAGCCCACAATCTCCAGGTTCTCATGTTTAGCTGACCTATAGCCCACAATATCTAGGTTCTCATGTTTAGCTGACCTACAGCCCACAATCTCCAGGTTCTCATGGTTGGCTGACTCATGGCCCACAATCTCCAGGTTCTCGTGTTTAGCTGACCTACAGCCCACAATCTCCAGGTTCTCATGGTTGGCTGACCTATGGCCCACAATCTCCAGGTTCTCGTGTTTAGCTGACCTATAGCCCACAATCTCCAGGTTCTCGTGTTTAGCTGACCTACAGCCCACAATCTCCAGGTTCTCATGGTTGGTTGACCTATAGCCCACAATCTCCAGGTTCTCATGGTTGGCTGACCCATAGCCCACAATCTCCAGGTTCTCACGGTTGGCTGATCATGGCCCACAATCTCCAGGTTCTCATGTTTGGCTGACACATGGCCCACAATCTCCAGGTTCTCATGTTTGGCTGACTCATAGCCCACAATCTCCAGGTTCTCATGTTCGGTTGACCCATAGCCCACAATCTCCAGGTTCTCATGGTTGGCTGACCCATAGTCCACAATCTCCAGGTTCTCATGTTTGGTTAACCCATAGCCCACAATCTCCAGGTTCTCATGTTCGGTTGACCCATAGCCCACAATCTCCAGGTTCTCATGTTCGGCTGACTCATAGTCCACAATCTCCAGGTTCTCATGTTCGGTTGACCCATAGCCCACAATCTCCAGGTTCTCATGGTTGGTTGACCCATAGTCCACAATCTCCAGGTTATCATGTGACCCACATGCCACAATCTCCAGGTTCTCATGGTTGGCTGACCTATAGCCCACAATCTCCAGGTTCTCATGGTTGGCTGACCCACAGCCCACAATCTCCAGGTTCTCATGGTTGGCTGACCTATAGCCCACAATCTCCAGGTTCTCATGTTTGGCTGACCCATAGCTCACAATCTCCAGGTTCTCATGTTTAGCTGACCTATAGCCCACAATCTCCAGGTTCTCATGGTTGGCTGACCCACAGCCCACAATCTCCAGGTTCTCATGGTTGGCTGACCTATAGCCCACAATCTCCAGGTTCTCATGTTTGGCTGACCCATAGCCCACAATCTCCAGGTTCTCATGTTTAGCTGACCTATAGCCCACAATCTCCAGGTTCTCATGTTTAGCTGACCTACAGCCCACAATCTCCAGGTTCTCATGGTTGGCTGACTCATGGCCCACAATCTCCAGGTTCTCATGTTTGGCTGACCCATAGCCCACAATCTCCAGGTTCTCATGTTTAGCAGACCTATAGCCCACAATCTCCAGGTTCTCATGTTTAGCTGACCTATAGCCCACAATCTCCAGGTTCTCATGTTTAGCTGACCTACAGCCCACAATCTCCAGGTTCTCGTGTTTAGCTGACCTACAGCCCACAATCTCCAGGTTCTCATGGTTGGCTGACTCATGGCCCACAATCTCCAGGTTCTCGTGTTTAGCTGACCTACAGCCCACAATCTCCAGGTTCTCATGGTTGGCTGACTCATAGTCCACAATCTCCAGGTTCTCATGTTTAGTTGACCCATAGCCCACAATCTCCAGGTTCTCATGTTCGGTTGACCCATAGCCCACAATCTCCAGGTTCTCATGTTCGGCTGACTCATAGTCCACAATCTCCAGGTTCTCATGTTCGGTTGACCCATAGCCCACAATCTCCAGGTTCTCATGTGACCCACATGCCACAATCTCCAGGTTCTCATGGTTGGCTGACCTATAGCCCACAATCTCCAGTTTCTCATGGTTGGCTGACCCACAGCCCACAATCTCCAGGTTCTCATGGTTGGCTGACCTATAGCCCACAATCTCCAGGTTCTCATGGTTGGCTGACCCACAGCCCACAATCTCCAGGTTCTCATGGTTGGCTGACCTATAGCCCACAATCTCCAGGTTCTCATGGTTGGCTGACCCACAGCCCTCAATCTCCAGGTTCTCATGGTTGGCTGACCTATGGCCCACAATCTCCAGGTTCTCATGTTTGGCTGACCCATAGCCCACAATCTCCAGGTTCTCATGTTTAGCTGACCTATAGCCCACAATCTCCAGGTTCTCATGTTTAGCTGACCTATAGCCCACAATCTCCAGGTTCTCATGTTTAGCTGACCTACAGCCCACAATCTCCAGGTTCTCATGGTTGGCTGACTCATGGCCCACAATCTCCAGGTTCTCGTGTTTGGCTGACCTATAGCCCACAATCTCCAGGTTCTCATGTTTGGCTGACCTATGGCCCACAATCTCCAGGTTCTCATGTTTAGCTGACCTATAGCCCACAATCTCCAGGTTCTCATGTTTAGCTGACCTACAGCCCACAATCTCCAGGTTCTCATGGTTGGCTGACTCATGGCCCACAATATCCTTACTGGGCTCAGTCCTATTAAAAATATGCGAACTTTCGGCGACCAACGAATCGCTGCAAAACTAGGATCGGCTCCGTATAGTGAAACAAATGCTCTAACATGGTCTCAGCAATATGTTAATTGCGGACCTGTTTCTTATTGTTTCTGATTACCTGACAATTCTAAGAGACGCAACACTGCAGACGATGGTAGCATACGATAATAGCAACCGCTGACACTCTCGAGCATTTCTGCAGACGATAAAAGCGACATGGTGGGGAGACCACGTGCGCTGACGCAGATTAGCGTCGTTGTTTTCCTCAAACTTTTTGGCATGCGCAAAACGCAGTTACACTTACCGCCGACAGTATCCCACGAGCGGCGCGGATGGGGGGCTAAACTAGATGCCTGGGACTCACGAGCAAATTAATTGGAGGAAGTTGCAGGAGATGCGGTAGCTGCTGCTCATGTCCCAGCCATCTAGTTTAGCTCCCATACGGTCGGCGGTGAGGCATAGTCACAGAAACAGGTCCGCAATTAACATATCGCTGAGACCCTGTTAGAGCATTTGTTTCGCTATACGGAGCCGATCCTAGTTTTGCTGCGATTCGTTCGTTGCCGGAAGTTCGCATATTTTTAATTGGACTGAGCCCTGTAAGGATATTTTAGGCCGCCATAATGCGGGGGTAGAAGTTCGGAGGAGAGCCCCAAGACTGGCTTTTTTTCAGAAAGATTAATTAATCAACCCTGATCAAATAGAAGTTGATTTGATGTTGTGGTTATGTATGATGTTATATATACCGTATTCTCCAACGTAAGTAGTTCAAGGAAGTATAGGATTAGGTCATTTTAGGAGAGTAACTGGTATCAGTATCAGTACAGTACAGTAGTTTCTCATTCATGCTGTTTAGTTCTACCGCAACCCTAGCTAGGTGAAACTCACCTTGTACCAATGACTGACCCTGAGCCGGTAGATGACCCTTGGAGTCGAATGTTGTAGTGTCGGCCAGCAGTCTACCCTGGACCAGCGGTTTCCTGGTTTTCTTGTCTTGAACTCCCATTGTTTTTGGCGCTGGCTGGTAGAGCCTTCTCTTGGTGGCCATCTTGAAACATGGCAATTGTTCTGAACTCAACAAGTGGGCACGGAGCCGAGCCTGTCCTCTGAAAACTTACTGCATATAAACAGCCCCAGAGAGCTGCGTGGCAAGGTCAAGCAATTTGTTACTAGAACTAAAATCCGTGTACAGAAGGATACAAATGCTCATGACATCTTTGAAGAAGTTTCCCCTAAGGATGAAATCGGCGAGAATAATCAACTATTTACACCAAGGGAATTACACCATGTTAATGACACAATGTTAGTAAGATAATGTCTAATTATTCATAGCTCAATTTCTATCATAACCACAACCAAAAACAAAGCAATCTGTGAAACAAAACAAATGATATATATATCTTATATTTTTTTTTTAATTACAACAAATGACAGACTTGGAAAATGAAAATTTAGAAAATAAAAAAACTAAGATGGGAGTGGATTAGACACGTCCTCAGAATTCAGAAAGAGAGGGACATGGACACTCCAAGGACAGGAAGGAAAAGGCAGGCCCAGAGGCACTTGGTGGCGAACCTTTGAGACTGATCTCAAGGCTACGTTAAGGACAAAACTGGAAATTAGGAGGAAGCCTCAGAATCGAATTGAGTGGTGACAGTTTGTCTCTGCCTCATGTGCCTCTGGTCGCGATGAGGACTGATTGATTGATATTTTTTTAAACCATCATCATCATCCATGTGCCGTTAGACGTCACATCACGTCGGACAAAGACCTGGCATTCGATTCCCCCACTCCGCTCTGATGTAAGCAACTTTATGATTTCCAACATGTGTTCAGACCAGCATTTTTAGCCTGTCTCAATAATTTTTTTTTTTTTTTGTCTTGGACTCAAACCGTTTGTTTCCCATTCCGTTGCCTGTTTTTTAATCCCTTGCTTATTTCGTATTTCGTGTCAGAGTGTACCCAATATGTCTCTGCCCTCTTTGTCTTATTGCTGTCGATACAAGTGTTTGTCTAGTCATTTCTCTAATCTTTTCACTCTTTTTGAATTCATCCCATTTTATGTTCATAATTTTTTCTCAGACATTTATTTTCAAACGCATTTGACTTCGGTCCCATATCTTTGATGGTTCTCCAACTGTCGCTGACATTTGTTAGAACTGAAATAAGTTTGAAATGTTGGTCTTATAGCTGTATAATCTGGAGCTCCATAATTTATTAAAGCTTTTAAAGACTGTTGTTGCTTTGCCAATGCCCATGATTATTTCCTTGGTTAGATCTCCTAGAGAGTCAACATTGTTACCTAAATAGTTGAAATGGTCCATAGGTTCGGGGCACACTGCATTTTTATTTTTTATTTTTTAAAAGAGAGAAATAAACCATTTTCTTGAACATTTCAAGACATAATATTCTTGAAGAACTAACTTGAGAAGTGGACAGCGATACAAGTGGAGGTGTGACGTCATGAAATGGACAAACAGCAGTCTGAGAAAATCAACAAGAGGGAGAATGTTGAATTAAGAATCGACATCAAATCACTCAGGACACCCTCTTTAGCGCTCATTCCCCATCTTCAGCAGCAAGCGAAGAGTTCCAATTCCGATGGCACCAGTAACTGTCTGATTGTTTATATATTTCGCCTTTCCCCTGAGTGTACAAGAGATGGAGATCGGGGCTGTTAGAGATCGGGACTATTAGAGATCGGGGCTATTAGAGATCTATGACAGCCAGCCTTCACTGTAGAGGCGACTCGTTGGTTAATTTGTCCCCTGTACGCAGCCACGCCCCTGTATGTTGTGATCCTGTGTTTTGTTACCCTGTATGTTGTGATCCTGTGTTTTGTTACCCTGTATGTTGTGATCCTGTGTTTTGTTACCCTGTATGTTGTGATCCTGTGTTTTGTTACCATGTGTGTCGTGATCCTGTGTTTTGTTACCCTGTATGTTGTGATCCTTGTTTTGTTACCCTGTATGTTTTGATCCTTGTTTTGTTACCCTGTATGTTGTGATCCTGTGTTTTGTTACCCTGTATGTTGTGATTCTGTGTGTTAAAACCTTGTATATGCCGTGACCCTGTATGTTGTGACCCTGTATGCTATGACACTGCATGCCCTGACCCTTATGTTGTATGTTGTATGTATGTTGTGACTCCGTATGCTGTTACCCTGTATGCTGTTACCTTGTATGCTGTGACCCTTATGTTGTGGCTATGTATGCTGTGACCCTGTATGTTGTTACCCTGTACGCGGTGACCCTGTATGTTGTGGCTCTGCATGCTGTGACCCTGTATGTTGTGACTATGTTGTCACCCTGTGATCCTATATGTTGTAAGTCTATTCTGTGACCTTGTATAGGTTGTGACCACATATGTTGTAAAATTGAATACTATGATCGTAAAGCGAATAGAGCCTTGAAGTATCCCCAGTCTGTCAGCCAGCAGCAGATTCGAGTGGACGGAGTCACACTGTCATGGCGCCCCAGATGTTGTGAGAGCTGGCTGCAACTGTTCTCTCTCAGACAGGTACAACACTTAACTTGACTCCGGGCTGTCACGGGAACTTGTCCTCTTGTAGCCAGCAGATAAACAATAAACACACTTAAAGGTAGACAGGCATCAGTTGTCACAGTGGTGGCTGTACGTCATTGATTTTTGTAATCAAGAACACGAAAATCGGAAAAGATCTGGATGATCCAGTGGATCCAGGAATGGATAATTATTTTAAAAATAAGAAGTATTAGTATTTACCTAGTTTAAGGAGAGATTGCCAGTTTTCATAAATAAAGTAACTCCGAGAAAATGGCCCATCACCCAGCAGTAGAAGATATAAAACAGGAACCAGACGATGAGGAGGTACGTATAGGAGTGTGTTTACATCTTCATCTAGTATCAGTTCTAGTTATTAGTCTCAGTCTTTGGCTGAATTTTTTTTCCCTTCTGTTTAGCGACCACATAATGCGAGATTTAGGGAAACCACATATTGTGGGGGGGGGGGGTGGTTAGTAGTAGTCCCCATATATATTTAACACAAACCCAAATGCCCCACCCCCAAATCTTGTGGTTTTATGAGTTACTCTTAAATATATAAATACATGCATTCACGGGGGGAGGGGGGGGGGGCCTAACCATTACTGAGGTCTGCAACTGGGTCATAAACTGATGGAGTCTGTTTTTCAGCAGGTGAGAAGCTCATGTGCTTCTGCAGCTCAGGCTCAAAGGAGAACAGATAAGAATATCTGCTTCTGCCTTGACTGCAAGTGGTCTTTCGAGGTCATGGTAGTCATTAAAGCTGTAATCTTGCTGGAGATACAGACCTGGTTAGAGACACAGACCTGGTTGGAGACACAGACCTGGTTGGAGACACAGACCTGGTTGGAGACACAGACCTGGTTGGAGATACAGACCTGGCTAAAGACACAGACCTGGCTGGAGACACAGACCTGGTTGGAGACACAGACCTGGTCGGATACACAGACCTGGCTAGAGACACAGACCTTGTTGGAGACACAGACCTGGCTGGAGATGCAGACCTGGTTGGAGACACAGACCTGGTTGGAGACACAGACCTGGTTGGAGACACAGACCTGGTTGGAGACACAGACCTGGCTAGAGACACAGACCTGGATGGAGACACAGACCTGGTTGGAGACACAGACCTGGCTAGAGACACAGACCTGGTTGGAGACACAGACCTGGTTGGAGACACAGACCTGGCTAGAGACACAGACCTGGATGGAGACACAGACCTGGTTGGAGACACAGACCTGGTCGGATACACAGACCTGGTTGGAGACACAGACCTGGTTGGAGACACAGTCCTGGCTAGAGACACAGACCTGGATGGAGACACAGACCTGGTTGGAGACACAGACCTGGTTGGAGACACAGACCTGGTTGGAGACACAGACCTGGTTGGAGACACAGACCTGGCTAGAGACACAGACCTGGATGGAGACACAGACCTGGTTGGAGACTTAGACCTGGCTGGAGACACAGACCTGGTTGGAGACACAGACCTGGTTGGAAACACAGACCTGGCTGGAGACACAGACCTGGCTAGAGACACAGACCTGGCTAGAGACACAGACCTGGTTGGAGACTTAGACCTGGCTGGAGACACAGACCTGGCTGAAGACACAGACCTGGTTGGAGACACAGACCTGGCTGTAGACACTGACCTGGTTGGAGACACTGACCTGGTTAGAGACACAGACCTGGCTAGAGACACAGACCTGGTTGAGACACTGACCTGGTTAGAGACACTGACCTGGCTAGAGACACTGACCTGGTTAGAGACACAGACCTGGCTGGAGACACTGACCTGGCTGGAGACACAGACCTGGTTGGGACACAGACCTGGTCAGATACACAGACCTGGCTAGAGACACATACCTAGCTGGAGACATCTTCACTCAGACATGCTGTCTTAGTGAGTATGCTCAAGAAGGTCAGGATTGGCTGAGCAGCACTTTCAAGTCTATGAGTCAGTTGATACTGACAAAAAGTGTGTCATTTTTCTGCCAGGGTGTACAGATGTAAGAGAAAATCAACACGCTGATAGGCTTGCAGGCAGGACAGACAACCAACGCACCATGATGATATGCTGAATGTGCTTCAAGAAGTCAGATGATGACTGTTGAGTGGCCATCCTTGACCAACCTGCAGGAACATCGCATTGAGAGGGTTAAAGACAGACAGGAGCACTGCAGGGGGGAAACAAGTCAACCAGCATAGCACTAGATCAATGGTACACAAGGTCAACAGAGCACTGGTGTCAATAAAATATGCACTGAGGGCTGCACTCCAAGACCCAAGCACTTGGGGACAAACACTTTTGATGTGTAGTAAGGATAGTTTATTAGCTTATTAAGAATCCAACATTTGTTGTTAGAGCATTCGGCCTTGTAGTTGTTTAGGGGCTTGTCTTTTGCAGTGAATTTCAAGAGATATGTTCCCTGCAGCTTTGTGGCTGGCATGTGCTGGCTACAGGTGTCTGCTAGTCCCAGACATGTGCAAGAGAACAGGAACCCTCACTGTCAATGAATAGTGAGCCTACTTTGAACAGTAGTGAAACTAAGCATGTGATACCCTTACTGAAATGAACACACTTAGGAACTGTTTTATATTGTTTTTAAGTAAAAGTTTCTATACACAGATGATTTCAGAGCAAAATTGCAGGTTATTTTTTTCATCAGTAAAAAATCCTGTGTACATCCAGTATATTGTGCGTCAGGTCTCATATGTACAGCCAGTGTGTTGTATGTCAGGTCTCATGTGTACACCCAGTGTGTTGTGCATCAGGTCTCATATGTACAGCCAGTGTGTTGTTTGTCAGGTCTCATGTGTACACCCAGTGTGTTGAGTGTCAGGTCTCATGTGTTCACCCAGTGTGTTGAGTGTCAAGTCTCATGTGTACACCCAGTGTGTTGAGTGTCAGGTCTTGTGTGTACACCCAGTGTTTTGAGTGTCAAGTCTCGTGTGTACATCCAATGTGTTGTGTGTAAGGTATCATGTGTACATCTAGTGTGTTGAGTGTAAGGTCTCATGTGTACATCTAGTGTGTTGAGTGTAAGGTCTCATGTGTACACCCAGTGTGTTGAGTGTAAGGTCTCATGTGTACACCCAGTGTGTTGAGTGTAAGGTCTCATGTGTACACCAAGTGTGTTGAGTGTCAAGTCTCATGTGTACATCCAGTGTGTTGTGTGTAAGGTATCATGTGTACATCTAGTGTGTTGAGTGTAAGGTATCATGTGTACATCTAGTGTGTTGAGTGTAAGGTCTCATGTGTACACCCAGTGTGTTGAGTGTAAGGTCTCATGTGTACACCAAGTGTGTTGAGTGTCAAGTCTCATGTGTACATCCAATGTGTTGTGTGTAAGGTATCATGTGTACATCTAGTGTGTTGAGTGTAAGGTCTCATGTGTACATCTAGTGTGTTGAGTGTAAGGTCTCATGTGTACACCCAGTGTTTGAGTGTAAGGTCTCATGTGTACACCCAGTGTTTGAGTGTAAGGTCTCATGTGTACACCCGGTGTGTTGAGTGTCAGGACTCATGTGTACACCCAGTGTGTTGTGTGTCAGGTGTCATGTTCACTGATGACATTACAATTGTATTTACTCCCAGACTGATGACAGTGACGTCTACACTGGAGATCTCAGTGCTAGCTGTGAAGTGGCTGACAGCCAGGATACCACACAATGTGAGGATCAGACGCAGCCTGGATCAGGTATGAGACTTGAAGGTTTGACACTTACTTCTTGTGTGTTGTCAGTTGTCAAAAGCATATGTAAAACCTTTGGTGAGGATTAACCCCAAACTGGAATTATAGTTACAGGCAACTGTAGTTGGAAGTAAAATGAGTGGTTTTTATTTTAAAGGTATAGATAACTAACTGAACCCATTCAAGAGAATGCAAGAATACTTCAGCTATCTGCACATTTTCCATTCGGACGTGAATGAAAAAACTCAGTCTAATGTATTCACAACAACTGAGATTGAACCAAATAAATTAGGAGCAGATAATAAGAGAAACAATACAAACTACCTGTTTTCTTCTCTCCATTTTAAATTGTCAGTTGTCACATGGTATTTATTGAAATTGCTTTATGTTATGTTATCACAATCAGTGTCACTGCATGGGTATTTCCATGTGTGCTCAGTTCTCCAATGCAGCAACCACTAATTATATAAGTAATTTAGTTTGACCCTGTTGAAGCAAAAAACTTAAATAATTGTTTTATTATGCTTACAAATCCCTGAGAAACCACTATTTTAGTTTTTGCATTGACCAGTCCTCAGAAGGCTTCTCCATTGATGCTGTTTGTGACTGTGCTGCAGAATTGAGAAGGATGAGATATAATTATGTTGACCATAAATAGCAGCTGGGGATATGAGTTGTGGTACTGCGATAGAGGTGCAGTCTGTGTATGATGTGATTGGCTCCATTATATTTTCTGATATTGTTTCTTGGCTCAATTGTTGTATGTTCCAATAGTGGCCAGAACAAGTGTTGCAGAGTTTTTCATGTTTCATCTTCGTAAGTTATCTCTGAATATTCAGGATAACATCTGAAAGTTTGTGTCCTTACTGGGCCGTATCAGCAGTGTAGCCAGTGTAATACTTACTGGGGCCATATCAGCTGGGTAGCCAGTGTAATACTTACTGGGGCCATATCAGCAGTGTAGCCGGTGTAATACTTACTGGGGCCATATCAGCTGGGTAGCCAGTGTAATACTTACTGGGGCCATATCAGCAGGGTAGCCAGTGTAATACTTACTGGGGCCATATCAGCAGTGTAGCCAGTGTAATACTTACTGGGGCCATATCAGCTGGGTAGCCAGTGTAATACTTACTGGGGCCATATCAGCAGGGTAGCCAGTGTAATACTTACTGGGGCCATATCAGCTGGGTAGCCAGTGTAATACTTACTGGGGCCATATCAGCAGGGTAGCCAGTGTAATACTTACTGGGGCCATATCAGCAGTGTAGCCGGTGTAATACTTACTGGGGCCATATCAGCAGGGTAGCCAGTGTAATACTTACTGGGGCCATATCAGCAGGGTAGCCAGTGTAATACTTACTGGGGCCATAAGGGTAGCCAGTGTAATACTTACTGGGGCCATATCAGCAGTGTAGCCAGTGTAATACTTACTGGGGCCATATCAGCAGTGTAGCCAGTGTAATACTTACTGGGGCCATACATATCAGCAGTGTAGCCAGTGTAATACTTAGCCATATCAGCAGTGTAGCCGGTGTAATACTTACTGGGGCCATATCAGCAGTGTAGCCAGTGTAATACTTACTGGGGCCATATCAGCAGGGTAGCCAGTGTAATACTTACTGGGGCCATATCAGCAGGGTAGCCAGTGTAATACTTACTAGGTCATATCAGCAGGGCAGCCAGTGTAATACTTACTTGGCCATATCAGCAGGGTGGCCAGTGTATTAGTTACTGGGCCATAGCAGGGTGTCCAGTGTATTAGTTACTGGGCAATAGCAGGGTGGCCGGAGTAATACTTACTGGACCATATCAGCAGAGTAGCTGATGTAATACTTGTTGTGAGTGCCTTAATTATAACTTCAATATTATATTCGTTGTGTTCGTTATGAAAAGGGAAAACGGTAGGAAACATCCTGATTGGAGTGGAAGAGAGACAGGTGGAGATCAAGAGGCGGATGCTGACCATTCAGCGTTATTGCATCGATGATCTTATATATCAGAAATGATGAAAAGTACAGACGACAGGAGGCTGTGGAAACACATCACTACCAACAACTCATGGCCTAGACTATAGTCAGAAGATTTATTGGTGTTTAGACCTTTGAATATGCTAACTGGGTTATTTGTTACAATTGTTATATTTAAGTCCCAGTGGTTTGCAGGATTTATTAAAATAAGAGTACAAAGAGCATAATTATACCTTCTTCACAATGACCTAACATTCACCAGGAAACTAGGGTTCCATGGATTTTAAAAAAAAAACAGTAAAAATTATGTGGTGAAAAGTTTAAATTGTGGCTATATATGTGTGTGTTTTTTTTTTCAGTATTGTGGCTAACTCTAAAACTGTTCAATAAAACTGATATTTTGCAGTTGTGTCACTTCCGGACAAGAACGTCAGTGTGATGAAGATGGTGTATACTGACGATTATACCAGTGTCACTGTGATGACCGACAGCAGGTGTAGGGAGAAAGCTGAGGCTTCTCTTGTCTGTCATCCCAGTAAGACAGACATGTCTGTCACACAGAATAATGATGTCATGACAGTCAGTAATGAAACAGAGACAGATGAAGAAGTGTCACTCAATGAGAACATGAGAAAAATGTCTGGCACTGGTACAGTCAGTGGTCCACAGAAATTACAGCCAGACAGGAGTTGTCTCCCCACAGATGGGGATGTGACACCTGCATCCCTTGACCAACTTCTGACTCAGCAACAGAAACCTGGACATGACCTCAGCGTTGAACCTGGCACTGGACAATGTATAATAGAGGACATTGTGAATTCCTACAAGTGTCTAGTTAGTGACCTGTGTTTTACCGATGGGAGTAGTCTCCAACACACCGGAGAGAAACCGTACGGGTGTAATCTTTGTGGGACCAGATTTACTCAAAGAAATGGCCTCCGGCAGCATAAAAGAAAGCATGCAGGAGAGAAACCTTTCAAGTGTGATGTTTGTGATAGTGAATTTACTTATAAAACTAGTCTCAGACAACATAAAAGAACACACACAGGAGAAAAACCTTACAAGTGTGAAATCTGTAGTGTCTGTTTTACTACGGGCAGTAGCCTCAGACGACATATCAGAACACATACAGGAGAGAAACCGTTCAAGTGTGATGTGTGTGGTAAGTGTTTTACTGCTAGTCGTAATCTCAGACAACATAAAACTCTGCATACAGGAGGCAAACCTTTCAAGTGTGATGTGTGCGGTGTTGACTGCACAGATGGGAAAAACCATAAACGAATGCATGCGGAAGAGAAACCTTTCAAGTGTGATATTTGTGCAGCTGGATTTGCTTTTAGAACAGGTCTCCAGCAACATAAAAGAATACACACAGGGGAGAAACCTTACAAGTGTGATGTCTGTGGTAGTCAGTTTACTTACAGAACTAGTCTCCGCCATCATAAAAGGACTCACACAGGAGAGAAACCTTACAAGTGTGAATTCTGTGCTCTCTGTTTTACTACTGGAAGCTATCTCAGAAAACATACAAGGTCGCACACGGGAGAGACACCTCCCAAGCGAGATGTTTGTGGTACATGTTTTACTGATGAAAGTAAACTCAAACAGCGTAAAGAAGTACTCACAGGAGGAAAACGATTCAAGTGTGATGTTTGTGGTGCTTGTTTTAATAAAGAGAATAATCTCAAAGAACATCAAGTCAAACACACAGGAGAGAGGCCCTACAAGTGTGATGTTTGTGGGGCTGCATTTACATATGGAAGTAATCTTAGGCAACACATAAAAACACACACAGGGGAGAAACCTTACAAGTGTAATGTTTGTGGTCTGTGTGTGACCACCGGCAGTAGTCTCACACGACATCAAAGAACTCATACAGGAGAAAAACCTCACAAGTGTGATGTTTGTAGTGTCTGCTTTTCTGACGGAGGTTATCTCAGGGTCCATAAAAGAATACACACAGGAGAGAAACCTTACAAGTGTGATGTTTGTACTGCTGAATTTACTGATAAGAGTGTTCTCAGACGACACAAAAGAACACATACAGAAGAAGTCTTACAAGTGTGATGCATATTCATCCATAATAGTAAGAGTTGCTTAATGCTGCGGTTTTTGATTAGTTTTCTGGCTCAGTATTGCCGACTGTAGGATCTCCTCACAGGCAGAATGGGCTCATCCCTTTCCCATCACCTCTTTCGCTTTCCCATGCAGTTTCTGGCTGGGGGTTGAGACCACAACATTCCTATGGATTGCTAAGTAGAAGAGGGTTGACACCATCATGAAGGTGAGGTAGGCCCAAGTAAGAAAGGCCAGTGTACTTTGAGAGTCTTGTGTTGCCCATCATTGCTCCACGAGGTTCCCAAATGTAATGTATGTGCTGTAGTTTGAGGTGACCTAGTGAGCTGAACATTCGTACTAATGTCAGTAGTGTCTATTTTACAACATATAGTCATTTAAAGCAATGTTTTACCCTTTGTAAATTTGAACAGAGAAGACAAACAATCAATTGCATAATTTATTGCCTGGCATATTTCCCTGTATCTCATCAGGTGCAAACTACAGTAACAATTAAAAAGATAGAGTAATTAAGTGAATCCTCTTAATTTACTTACATGTCCAAACCATCGTCGCTGATCCGCTCAGGTTTGTAAGCCTGGGTTTCAAGATCTTGACGTATTGTCTGATTGTGGCCTCTGTTTTGGGTCTATTACAACTCATAGGTTATTTGAACTGGTTGACCTGCTCCAATGCATACAGTCCCATCGTGATCTGGTGTTTCTTCTACCTTTCAGCCTAACGTCCAATTTCATCAGAGCCCTAATTTATCACCTTTTACAGCATACTTATTATATTGGTGTTCTCACAACTGGTGTTCTTAAACTGTTCCTCTTGGTGTTCTTAAACTGCTACATGTCAAACATCTGGAGGCTGGGGTTTTTTTTTGTGTTTTTTTTTAAATCTGTGCATACATGTTAAAAATGTTTGTGTACTGGTTCCCTTGTGCTTCATCTCACTGGAAAGCTTTAGCCTTCTGTGGTTGTTTTTGCTTGTGGC